TGGGGGTGTGTTTCGATGTGGGTGTGTGGGTTGCGGTGTGGGTGTGTGTTTCGATGTGGGTGTGTGGGTTGCGATGTCGGTGTGTGGGTTGCGATGTGGGTGTGTGCAGTGTGGGTTGCGATGTGGGTGTGTGTTTCGATGTGGGTGTGTGCAGTGTGGGTTGCGATGTGTGGTGTGTGTTTCGATGTGGGTGGGTGTTTCGATGTGGGTGTGTGGGGTGTGGGTTGCGATGTGGGTGTGTGTTTCGATGTGGGTGTGTGGGTTGCGATGTGGGTGTGTGTTTCGATGTGGGTGTGTGGGTTGCGATTTTGGTGGGTGGAGTGTTGGTTTCGATGTGTGGTGTGTGTTTCGATGTGGGTGTGTGCAGTGTGGGTTGCGGTGTGGGGGTGTGTTTCGATGTGGGTGTGTGGGTTGCGGTGTGGGTGTGTGTTTCGATGTGGGTGTGTGGGTTGCGATGTCGGTGTGTGGGTTGCGATGTGGGTGTGTGCAGTGTGGGTTGCGATGTGGGTGTGTGTTTCGATGTGGGTGTGTGGGGTGTGGGTTGCGATGTGGGTGTGTGTTTCGATGTGGGTGTGTGGGTTGCGATGTGGGTGTGTGCAGTGTGGGTTGCGATGTGGGTGTGTGGGTTGCGATGTGGGTGTGTGGGTTGCGATGTGGGTGTGTGTTTCGATGTGGGTGTGTGCAGTGTGGGTTGCGATATAGGTGTGTGGGTTGCGATGTGGGTGTGTGCAGTGTGGGTTGCGATGTGGGTGTGTGTGTTTCGATGTGGGTGTGTGCAGTGGGGGTTGCGATGTGGGTGTGTGGGCTGCGATGTGGGTGTGTGCAGTGTGGGTTGCGATGTGGGTGTATGGGTTGCGATGTGGGTGTGTGCAGTGTGGGTTGCGATGTGGGTGTGTGGGTTGCGATGTGGGTGTGTGTTTCGATGTGGGTGTGTGCAGTGTGGGTTGCGATGTGGGTGTGTGGGTTGCGATGTGGGTGTGTGGAGTGTTGGTTTCGATGTGTGGTGTGTGTTTCGATGTGGGTGTGTGCAGTGTGGGTTGCGATGTGGGTGTGTGGCGTGTGATGTTTGTGTGTGGGTTGTTATATTGGTTTGTGGGGTGTGGGTAGCGATGTCGGTTTGTGGGTTGGGATCTTGAGTGTGGGTTGTGATATGAGTCCTTAAAAAAGGAGCGGTTGGGTAGCCAAGCGGTTAAAGCGTTCGCTCGTCACGCCAAAGAGTGAGTGAGTTTGGTTTAACGCCGCTTTTAACAGTATTCCAGTTATATCACGGCGTGTCAGCTTAATGTGGGAGGAAAGCCCGAAGTGATGCAGGTCTCAGACGTTTACCACTTCGATGAAACCCACGAGTACGGGTATGGTGCTGACAAACCTAGAAACATAATCGGGGCGAACCGGGATTCGAACCCACAATCATAGATTTCTGGCGTGCCTAAGGGACGCAACTCTGCACAGCGAATCGCGGCGCCTTAGACGACTGGGCCACCCGTGCCCCCTGTCACCCCAAAGACCCGGTTTCGCTTCGCGATATGGGTGCAATGTGTGAAGCCCATTTCTGGTGTCCCATGTCTTAATATTGCTGTAATATAACTAAAAGCAACATTTTTCTGCAACCACTACTGATCACCAACGATGCTATACATGATAGATATTCTTGCAAACATGCTCTCTACTTATCATTGTGTTCATTTAGTACAGTTGTAAACTTGGAGTGGTGGTGAAATCGGAATTATAAAAAATTTCGACACACCTTCTATTTTGTTTAATGAAGATGAAGATGACTGACTGACTGAGTATGGTTTTACGCCGCTTTTAGCAATATTATAGCAATATCACGGCGGGGGACACCAGAAATGGGCTTCACACATTGTACCCATGTCGGGAATCGAACCCGGGTCTTCGGCGTGACGAGCGAACTCTTTAACCACTAGGCTACCCCACCGCCCCTGATGAAGATGAAGAGGAGGATGAACCGAAACGAGACGCAGTGTATCAACACTATGACCACACGCTGCGGTAATCCTGATGACTTCCGAGCTAAACACCTTGAGGATCTGACAGTACAAGTGATGAAGATGAAGAGTGTGGGGGCTATGGCGGCCCTTTCCTCCCCGTCTCCTATCTTTAGTAACATGTTTTGTTTGTTTGTTTGTTGTTTAATTCAGATCCGGGTCAGAATTAAAATTAATCAATCCACGATTGTCGTAAGAGGCGGCAAACGGGATCGGGTGGTCAGGCTCGCTGACTTGGTTGATGCATGTCATCGTATCCCATTTGCGTGATTCGATGCTCATGATATCAATCACGGGATTGTCTGGACCAGACTCGAAATAATTTATAGACCCCCATCATATATCTGGTAAGGGCGGCGTTAAAACACAACCTACTAACCAAACAAACGTAACAATGTAGCCTCGTATTTCAAAGCACCGGTACAAGGGTAAGATGTGTGCAGCCCATTTCTATAGCTAAAACACGGCCTGAAGCCATTGTGTCTGATAGTATCTACTGTAACATTGGCATTTTTATTATTTATTTAGGGATGTGATACTTACCTATCTGGCAAAAGCAAGTATACACTTTCCAGTTGAATGTAAACAAAACAAAACCAACGTTATCTAAACAACACTAGACTTGAAAACGTTCATAAAAAACTCAAAACTCATAAAAACTGCAAAATGTATCAAAACATTATATATATTTTTATGACACAGCGCGTAAGGATATCGGGATATCATATAAGGATATAAGGGTATAATATATTTTATATTCATAATATAAGATGTTTACAATATAGAAACACACTTGTCTATTAATCTCTATTTATTATCTGTATGTATAGGCTGTTTTACATTTGTCTAAAACATATCTGTAGCACCTTGACTAAATCTATGAAATACAACAGTAATCCGCCGATTTTGTTCCAATTCAGTTGTCTTTGGTATTGGATGTACTTTACTGTAACGCATGTATCGGCGCGCGCATGTGTCAGGAAACTAGTTTTTGTATTGTACGGAAACGTAGGAAACTGACTGGTCGACCTGCTGCGTTGCCTTCCTTTCCGCATGTCGTAGTGAACACGCATACCTGTGGTTTTGAAACGTATTTCTTTTAAACGTTTTGTACAATAAAAAAGTGCGTATCATTTCCGTGTTGGTAACGAAGTTTAGTTTTAATTTAATTAATAATAAAGTGATATGTTTCATAAACACGTATTGTCATTACTACACTCTTTTTGTCAGTTTATCAAAAAGTTGAATGAATGAAGCTGAATGAAATAAAAGCGAAAGAAGAATGTAGTTCCGGAAGTCATGAAACAAATGAAGAGGTTTTGTCTGATCTGGTTGTAGATAGTGCTGTATGGAATCGTAGAAGGGACATTGTCGCGTTGGTTACAAAACCATGTATACAGTGTCAGAAATAACCGAAGCGCGACAATGCGGCAACGTGACATTTTTAACCTTTTATTAAAATGTGTGAAAAGGGCTTTGATATGCACCACAACGAGACAATGCGACAACGACAACGCGACATTTTGATAATGTCCCATTGTCGCGCTTTGAATGCTAGTTTTGACTTTTATTAATGCGACAATGCAACAACGCGACATTGCGACCTTATCAAAATACCCATCATACCCATTGCAAGGATATACCTAGGATACCTATCGAACAAAATGTGGGCAAAATGTAAGCATACCATTCTAGTCCAACCCGGACTCACTCACTCACTCACTCACTCACTCACTCACACAACCACTCACCAACACAACCACTCACTCACTCACTCACTCACCCACACAACCACTCACTCACTCACACAACCACTCACTCACTCACTCACTCACTCACTCACTCACTCACACAACCACCCACCCACCCACCCACTCACTCACTCACTCACTCACTCACTCACTCACTCACTCACACAACCACTCACTCACTCACCAACACAACCACTCACTCACTCACCAACACAACCACTCACTCACTCACTTCAATCACTCACTCACTCACTCACACACTCACTCACCTACTCACTCACTCACTTTCTCACCAACACACTCACTCACTCACCCACTCACTCACTCACTCACTCACTCACCCTCACCACCACTCACTCACTCACTCACCCTGTGAAATAAATGTAGATCTTAATAACCCAGATGGTTAATACCAAGGTTTGCGGATTAAAGTGGTTCCTGCGTTTGTGTTCATATTGTATTAACAAGGAGTAGCAAGCGAATGACTTAACGCAGAAACATTCGAAACACACACAAACAGCTTAAACATAGTTTGAGGAATTATAAGTAATAAAACATGATATAGCTACGACAGAAAGATAAAGAAGCACTTGTCGTGAGAAGCGACATGTTTAAGAAGGAAATAAACCATTCTTGTTTATTCCTAATCATAAGCACTCGTCAACCCTCAGGGAAACCCAGCCTCCACTATCTCATAATGAAAAGCAGAAATCATAAGGCATACACTCAATGATGGTCATTCTCTTATACCGATTATGTCGTTTTTACCCCTCTGCATTTAATGATTTGTCACAGTAACCACCTCTCTCATACCTGACAGAAGCTATCCCCGCTCTTACAGGTTGCGTGCGTGTGTGCTTTTTTCAGAGAAGGAAGCTGACTTTTGTGATATTCCTATTGTTAGGCTCCATATATTTATCACCAATACAAACCTAAATATAAAGAGAGTGTCCAAACTATATTTCGTGTTTCATCAATTTCAAATTCCGTTTCATTATGTGTTTAAGTTTTTAATTTACAGTGACACGTCAGGTCATCAGTTTTTCAATTAAATAAACAAACATCAATGGAATTCTAACATAAATTCTTAGCCTATGCCTGTCAAGAGGTTTTTCAGTTGTGTTTATTTGGTCAATAAAATACTTCCACAGTACTGAGATGAGAGTCGTGGCCCTAATCCTTTGTCACATGTTTCCGAGACTTGGCGAATCTGTAAACAAAAGTGAAGCGGTGAGTTTTGATACTGTCTCCGTTACAGAACTTGAGAGTGTGAATGGGGCTGGAAAGACACTTGTTTGGTCAGCGGAGAACGAAACAGCGCCGTCGATCGACGTCACGTTCACAAACAATTTCAACAAATAGCAATCGTAAAAGCCGAGGAAGAATGTTCGGGACATGCAACGAGTCGCGAATAGCCTACCGGTGTTGGCTATGAGGTGTGCTGGTGACCCCCCGGCAAGAATTATTACTTCTGGTTCCGACCAGCCCCACGAGCTCGTCACGAAACATCGCCCTAGCACGCGGATGAGAGCGCTACGTCATAGCTCGTGCCGTGACGCAGTTGCATGAGCTTAGGATTTCGCCCGCCGAGATTGTCGCAGTTTGTCGGAATATGCTGCGTGATACCCACCCCCCTCCTCGTGTCTGTCACTTCAACAAAAGGGATCATGTTGTCATAGTCTCTACCCCTCTGTGATGCCACTCAACCTGACTTCCATATATTGACAACTGTTTTTGATACTGAGTCAAAACACGGCCGTCGTTCGGCGAATCCAGACCGCGCGGACCTAATAGAAGACACTTCTTCTAATTAGCATTGCGCGGACCTCAGAGAAGACACCTCTTCTAATTAGCATTGCGCGGACCTCAGAGAAGACACTTTACACAGTTACTTTTTATGAGGACACAACATGAGACTCGTTACAATGAAGATGGAACTAGGTGTTGTGTCAGTTGTTTTGACTTTTTTCTCCGCACTGCTGCTGAGGAGAGTTGAAGGGCACGGGCGATTAATAGACCCACCTTCACGTGCATCAATGTGGCGATTCGGTTTCGAAGTACCCCAGGCTGACTATGATGATAACCAAGGATACTGTGGAGGTCAGACAGTAAGTTAACAATTTAATTTTTTTCTTTGCTAATTAAATTATCCACTACAAATTTGAAATATCCAGCTGTCAGTCTTTATGTACAATCCCTTATGCGTGTCGGAACCCTATGATTGTGGGTTCAAAATCGAACCGATTTTGTTTTTTACGATGTCAGCACCGTGTTATTGTTCCTACCAAAGTGGTAAACGTTTAAAACGTGAATCACTTAGGGTTTTGCTCCCACAGCTGCCAACCGCAGTATAAAAGTAGTTTCCAAGGCAATGTTAATCCAACTCGGGCTGCTCGGGTTCTGGCTTTGTGAGCACCATACCGTGGGTTTTAACCAAATTGTAACTGAATATTAAAGTGACAAAACCCTTTCAATATTCTTAAGAAATCTCTGCCAAAAGAAGTCGATGAGCATGAGTTATTTATCTATTATCACATGGTGCTGATAAAAGATGTTCGCGAAAATGCGAGCGTATCACCGTTGACACACGTCACAAACACATGCAATGCAATTGTTCCCCTGAAAAAAAAGTGAACACAATGTACAAGTCAAAATAGAAAATTATGTCGGACATCATTATTCGCGACTGATGTTCCAAATTTCAAATTTGGAGATGTCCCCACATGTCTTCCATATAACTTGAGCGGTGGGATAGCCTTGTGGTTAAAGCGTTGGCTCGTCACGCCGAAGATCCGGATTAGATACACCACATGGGTACAATGCATGAAGCCTATTTTTTGTCCCCCCTGCGTTATATTGCTGGAATATTGCTTAAAGAAGCATAGAAACCTATTCACTCACTCACAACCATAAAACGTTTTTAAAGTTTTACTGAAGCCTTGAATGATGTATCCTTTGTCAAACAGTTTCTGGGCAAGAGTTGTGTTTTCACTAATGCTAATGTCCAGAGAGGTTAAACCCAACCTAATCACTTCAGTCTACATGATAATAAAACTACAAGCGTCTTGGGGACTGATTAACGATTTTAATTTAAAAATACAAATTTCTTTGCCGTGAAGAAAGAGTAACATTTATTTAATGAAATTAGCAATTATGATTTGAGTTATAGCACGGGGACATTTAATTAACTGTTACTAATCACAGCCATCATGCCTTAATACAGGCAAAAAACTTTGACATATTCAAAAAGTCAGATAACCAGAAAGCCCGACTTTTGGACTCATATGGCGGGACATATTATCATGTCTTATCTCTCCTGGAACAACTTCTATTTCCCCACTTCCTCTAGCATGCATTTACCGTTCTGCCCTTGCACAATGCAGAGGTGGTAATGCACCTTTGATAATCGAAACAGGCCGTAAAAGCGAAGACAGGGTGTGCTTTTACTGATATGATCATTTTGAAGATAAAAAACATGTTTTATTCCAATGTCCATTATACGGATCTAAGGGCTACATTATTTACGAGTAAAACGGCTAAAATGTCCAACTTTTTAAACCTGTTAAACAATGAGAAATTGTGTGTCCTTTCTAATCATGAGGTATATTTCACTGCCAAAATGTGTTTTTAATATAACAACGCAGAAAGCTATTGCTATATGGGTAAAACATTTTTAATCTGTATATATCATTTAGTTTTGTATCGTCTCTCATAACTTTATGAGAGTGGCTGTATTATTAGTTTTGTGTATAAACTCATATTTATGCATGTTTTTATGATGTACAACGGTGAGACGAAAATAAAATATCTGTCTTTCTGGCTGCAATATATTCATTTAAGGCGACGGGATTGTATTTGTCTTTATGACCTAATCACCGAGAGGAGCGAAATAATGATTCGTGGTATAAATAACCTCGACGAGGGAAGTGCATCATTTTATTCGCGATTATAACTTCCGTTAAAATATGCCCGAAGCGCATTTTCCTTTCTCAGCGTTAACGGAACAAAAAATCAAAGCAGACTAAAAAATAATTTTAATCCCTATCCCAACACCTGTCAGACAGAAGTGTTTATGATAGGCGGGCGTTGCTGTTGACAACCGTTTATAAATCTGTGTGATAATACATAAAAAAATTCCTTGTAGAACGTTCCACGTCTTCAACAAGTGACGAACCAATTGCGATCGTTTGCCAACGTGACGAAGAATGGGATACGCCGGGGCGAGTCATTTTCCCCGTCTCTTTATATAGAAGGTAGCAATTATCTTAAATTACGATCCCTGCGGCACGGTTTTATATCAGTGCCTTTTGGAACCAATTACTTTCACATACATATCAGCAGACAGGCGCACTAATGGATTTGGCGATCATTGCAAATTTGCTTGTTCGTTTGGCGTTTGAAGTGTGGTATGTCTTGGGGTGCTGACGATTGAGAGCGTTAAATTTTGATAGACATTTATACGTTGGAAGAATGGGAAAACATTAAAAATGTTTATGGATAACAACTTGTTTATTTTTTGCAAGGGCTAGTTCCGTTTCAAGTGATGAGGAGGCAAAGAGTTAATTACACATTCTCGACATGTACATGTGGTTGAAAAATATATAAGTATGCATTTTGTAATTAAATACTATATCTGTTTTAAAATTAAAAAACCCGATGTGACGTCAAGTTAAAAACGTGTTATTTCACACAGTTAACACTAGGTGAACACTAGGTGAACACTAGGTGAACACTAAGTAAAATAACACTTTATGCCGGAGCTACTTTCAGCCCACAGTGATGACTCGTGGCTTTCAACTTCAGTTAGAATATACACAAGACACGTGTGAACTATTTGACTTTTCAAACAACATGTTTATCCCATCTCGTGGCTAAAATAGCAACTTTTTACAGGCCATGTGATGAAATAAGCCTGATATTTGACAAGATTACCCAGATTTCCTCTATGTATTTGTACATTCGTATACAAGTGGGCACGTGTCATTTTCGAAAGCGAGACATTGCAAGTTTTGTTGCAGGGGGATTTTGTTCTTTGGAAGGGTTTGGTGTATCCGCGACCTATAGGAATCAATCAATTTGTTGTGGTTATTCTTATTTTGACCATCGACTGTATGTTTTTGGAGAAAAATATCCGCAAAATGAAACAATTTAAAAAGAGACCTGCGTGACTACTTCCTTAAATACTAAGAACAGATAAATTTCCTTAAAATTCTAATTCTTTTTGAGCATTTTATTTGCTTGGCCATTTAAGGTAACGCGACATTATATGCATTTGGGTAATAAAACAAGACCAGATTATCGAACTGGCATTGTAAATATTATTGCATTCCATCTAACTGATGATACCTCTCGGAATGCCATTGCTTGAGAAATACTAGGGATGAAGCCACGAGCATGTTCCGTCGTGGTAATGGCTGCAGTCGTTAGTATCACAAGTCGTGCTGATTAATATATTTTGTGTCAAAGTCTCGGGAGACAGATCAACAAGGTCTAGGCCATAAGACCATGTGATACTGATGGTGCGGAGGATGTAGCACGATGCTGACATTCCAGAGATACTATCTTCATGTCTGTGTCTGTCATAAAGTGAGTGAGTGAGTTGGGTTTGACGCGGCTTTAAATAGAATTGAGTTTAAGAATGAGTTTGAGTTTGAGAATTTGAGAAAGTCCGAAGAAGGGTGTCTCGGACGTTTACTACTTCGGTGAAACCCACGAGCACGGGAATGGTGCTGACAAACCTAGAAACATAATCGGGGCGAAAAGGGATCCGAACACACGATCATAGGTTACTGGCGTGCTCTTCTTAATACAAAATGGTACAGAAAGAAATATTCTTTACACTGCGAGCATTCAGCGTCAGGCAGAATGTGTTATATTCATGTGATGGTGATGTCTTAACATATGTTTGTCTATAATAATAATACTAACCAAGCGAAATAGACCCAGACTCGGAACGACCACTGCATCGAGTTTTCATGTATTTTCTGTCCCTTTTGACACTAATGTGATTGACAAGATTGAAGAAAAACATTGCAATAATGATCTCGCTTTCGAAATGTCACGCTTGCATCCCAAGTACCAAGTTGTCTGTATTCCTATTGTTGTCGGTGCCTTAGGTTTGGTCCCTCCCAATCTGTTGACTGATATTTGGAGAGTACCCGGGTTTGCTACCAGGAGTACAGCCCTTCTGACAATATGGGTTATGCAGAAGGCTGCAGTGTTGGGGAGTCTCACATTTTCCGAAAAGTTCAGGGTGGTTTTGACTAGGCAGCGCAAGAGATACCCCGTGTTTTTCAAAACGTGTTATTCAGTGTGGAGAGGGACCAAAATCAAATGCCTAAGACCTGCATCACGTTGACAGCAAGCATTATAACCGAAAGATCCTTTTCTCATGTTTGGAATGTTCTTCATTGTAAGTAAGATATTCCAACACAGCTGGGACACAGAGATTATTTGAATGCAAATGTCATATATTCCTGAACGTGACTAGGTGAAATAACTATTTCCGAAAATGGATTGTCAAACATCCACCATAACATTGATACCTTAAAAGAAAACACATTCGTGATAATGGTTCTGTTTAGATACAACACCAACTTAGGACTTTTATCCGTCTTTAACATAACACATATAAATAAATACAATGTCGTGTCGCCTCGCCCACAGCAGCCAGAAAGGATTATGAACGTGTTTCATTATTACTTATATATCTTTTCGTTTCAAGATGTGACAAGTAGATGAAGGAAGGTATATTCAAGTAAATAAATAAACATAAGTATAACACCTTGGAAGTAAACACCCCAGAAACAAGATCACAATCCACGCTACACATAATGATGTTTAATGGCTCAGTGCAAAGGTTAACTGGGTGTGGCAGTTTTGAGAAAAGTCCTTGTGCCCAATAAATTGTTTCTTCTCGGAGGTGGAGCTGAAAATTGTTACTTGCATAATTTGAAAAAGAATTTGTCCTACGCAATCAATGCGTAGTTATGCTTAATGCCGAGCAATATGCCTACCATTAGCGACTACAGTTCTCTGTTACTTAAGTACTTTAGTGCATGTATGTTTAATTAGATTTCACGGAAAGACACTTTTTTGGCTTACAACT